AGTCAGAGAACTTGTAAGGCTGATAGCTCTTAGCAGAGCTCAACGCTGAGATACTCCAAAGACATGAGCATATGTAAATGATTCTGGATCTTTCTGTTTGTAGACTGCTAATTTGACCCTCTGTTAGAGCTGACCAGTCTCATTCATTTTATTTCAGTAATTGACCTCGGGACAAGACAGTTCAACTTTGTCAGCATCCAGGAATTTGGTTCTAGTTAACTGGTCCTTGACAGCAGCAAACCTTCCTCTTGAGCTACAAATCCATTCATACTGAGTCCTAAAGTTAAGCCTGCGTTGACCGGATCTCATTCCGTGATGCAGATCCCACAAAGTAGATCTCATCCCATAATGTAGAGAACACATGTAACCCAACTCAATTGGATGACAGAGTTTTCTAATAATTTCTCCTAACCCCAATATTGCAGAAAAATCTTTCTGGACATGCATGGATGGAGTATTTGGGTTTTGTTTTTGTTTTTGTTTTTTTTGTTTTTTTTTTTGTTTTCCGAGACAGGGTTTCTCTGTAGCTTTGGAGGCTGTCCTGGAACTCACTTTGTAGACCAGGCTGGCCTCGAACTCACAGAGATCGGCCTGCCTCTGCGTCCCAGGTGTTGGGATTAAAGGCTTGCGCCACCAACGCCCTGCCCTGGAGTAAGTATTTGTAATACATATTCATGCACACACGTATCCACGTATTATACGCATATAGAAATCTGAATAGCTCATGATTTTAATAGTCTTAAAACATTTCCTTTATTCCTTCCTTCCTTCTCTCCTTCCTTTCTAACTCGGTTAATTGGAAAGATCAGGCTACAAGAGGAAATAGACCAGACACAGTCCATGTTCGAACACTCACATAATTTATAATGAAAGTTTGAGCTGGGCGCTTGGCCTGCTGCTAATCCGCATACTGCAAACCTGTGCATTACACGGGCCCAGAGCCCCTAGAGCGACGGTAATTTTATGACTCGTTCAGTTTTACTCCACCCTTGACTCCATCACCCTCCTAGTCACATTCTGACCTCTCATTCCGTTTTCCTTCTACTCTGTTAGTCATGACCGTCATCATCTGATTGCCTTTTCTGTTCTTGCTCCCGAGCTTCAGGGAAAAAAAAAAAAAAAAAGCAAAACTAGGATTTAACTCTCTTCCAGCGTCTGCCGCCACCACTGCGCCTCAGATCGGCGGCCCCATTACTCATTTCTTGTTGTTTCCAGAACACGGCTCCTACCACACCTATTCGGAGTGCCTCCCACACGCGTAAGCCTTTAAAACCCACACTCTATACAACAAATTCTAGTCAAGCGTCAATAACATTCTGTGTGACAAAAGAGAAGAAAGCATACCCAAGCCTCGCCTCGCTACCCAGATTTCTGTTACTCTAGCAAGATGGCAGAAACAGTCAACTCCGGAAGAGGAAAAGGGTTTAGTTTGGCTGACAGGTTTCGGAAGTTCTCCAAAACTTGACCGACCTATGGCAAAGCGGTGCATCCCGGAAGGAGCATGTGGTGGGGTATAAAGGCTCACTTTATGGCCAAGAAGGAAACAGGAAGAGAGAGAGATGCAAAGGGGTCAAAGTAGAGGCCGGCTTCCTACAACCTTTCTTGGAGGTACGCCCCGCCCCCAGCGACCTGAGCCCCTCCCACCAAGCCCCACATCTCAAGGATTCTACCCATTTCCAACAGCACTCAAATTCCTCCCCTTCTCCCTGTTCTTTCTCCTCGTGGCTTTCAGCATTCATTGTTCTGGAATAATGGGTACTTGATTTTTATTCTAGAAACAGTCTGCACTGCACACAAAACCCTGCCCTCTTCCATCAAAGGGATCAGGAGGACATTTGCGGCATCTTCGAGTTTTGTTCTGGCACTTCCTTTGAGGACTATTATCCTTTTGAAATCAGTGTCCAACCCCAAATGATCAGGCTGGGAGCCAACAGACTGATATCCTTGGATCTGGATTACACATTCCTCCCAATGGGTTCTCAGAAATTGTGTCAGCTTTGCTTCCCTTTAAGTGATTTTATTTGGATCGTCCTCTAGGTACTTTCTACAGGGCTGGAAAAGTCCCACGCGTCTAGGTTTACTTTCTGTTACTCATCTTAGCCTAACTACAGAATGTGAAGAAACGTTGCTTTAGTCTTGTGGCCTATTAATACTGGGCCAGTAAGGGAGAGAGTTCTAGGATCTGGGAATCTTAATAAAATACACCGCATCTCTCCCCCCAGATCTCGTTCTATTATGGTCATAACCTGGGGGACTTGGACAAGTTGGCCCCAATGGTAATGTACTAGTGTCTTTTTTTTTTCAAATGCAAGAACACAGCACTCTCTTAAACCCCCAGACATCTCTCTAGCTGCTTGGGGACTTTTGGTGTGGGAGCAGGCTCAGACGGAGAGGAGGGTATTGTTGGGGCTGAGACAGCCTGGAGACTAACTAAAGCAAACTTGTCAGGGGGGCAGAGCCACAGTGGAAGTCATGAATGACGAGGGACATCGGGTTTCAGTCACTCTCATTTGCATCTGCACGTGAAGGGTCCACTCCAGTGCTCTCCGGATAGTGGGTGGGAAAGAGCTTAGACACGCAGGCATTAGCATTTCAAGATGGCAGGCGGCTACACCAGTCTTAGATCATGAGTCTCTGGGAGTAAGTCACAAGCACTTAAAAATGGTTTTCTATGGACGGGGTGGGGGTGGGGCATAGGAAATCAAGGCTTCTAGACGACACAGTGGCAGACAAAGGCTTCCGACTCTGTCCCAGGGATGCAGGCTGGACTCTGTTGATCTCAGTTTGGGATGGAGGCAGAAAGTCTGGCTACGTCGTGATGATTTCAGAGATCTTCCCCAAGGCAGAAGGCCAGTGTGTCTAATTCCAGATCCCTCCAGAGCCACCCCAGATACTGTCTTATGACGGCCACAGGAGAGAGGCAGAACAGCTACCTAAGTGTCTGTCTGTCCGGAGCAGCTGGCACTAAGCAAAAAAACCGGAGCAAAGGTCGGAGGTGACTAAGTGAAGTAACTGGTCAAAGCTCAGACACACACGCACGTGCACATACACACACATTCGAGTGTGCGCACACACACACACACAGAAAGAGAGAGAGAGATAGACAGACAGACACACACACACACAGAGATAGACAGACAGACAGACACACACACACAGAGACAGAGAGAGACAGACAGACAGACACACACACACACTCGAGTGTGCGCGGGCACACACACACACAGAGATAGACAGACAGACACACACACACAGAAAGAGAGAGAGACAGACACACACACAGAAAGAGAGAGATAGACAGACAGACACACACACACACAGATAGACAGATAGACAGACACACACACACACACAGAGAGAGACAGACAGACACACACACACATACACACATACACACACACACAGAAAGAGAGAGAGATAGACAGACAGACACACACACAGAAAGAGAGAGATAGACAGACACACACACACACACAGATAGACAGACAGACAGACACACACACAGAAAGAGAGAGAGAGATAGACAGACAGACACACACACACACACACAGAAAGAGAGAGATAGACAGACACACACACACACAGAAAGAGAGAGAGACAGACAGACACACACACACACAGAGACAGACAGACAGACACACACACACATATACACACACACAGAGAGGGGGGGGAGACAGAGACAGAGACAGATACACAGACACCCCTGGCTAGTGAGGCCATTACACACAATTAAGGCATTAGCAAGGTAACCACTGTATTTTTCAGGAACCAGGCATCAGAGATGGCCAAAAGGTCACTAGATCTAAGGGGATCACTAGAGTTAAGAGGTCACTGGAGCTAAAGGGATCACTAGCACTAAGGGGTTCACTAGAGCTAAAAAGTCTCTGTTTACAGCAAGGTACAAAGACTTCCTGCTTGTAAAGTCATATTTTGTCAGGGCAAGTGACTAGACCAAATCCAAAAGAAACAAGAAAAGATTTGAAAGAAAAAGTAGAAAGTCCCATTTGGTGCCAAACACGCTATTTTTTTCTTTTGTTTTTTTCAATACAGGGTTTCTCTGTGGCTTTGGAGGCTGTCCTGGAACTTGCTCTGTAGACCAGGCTGGCCTCGAACTCACAGAGATCGGCCTGCCTCTGCCTCCCGAGTGCTGGGAGAAACACGCTGTTTTCATAGCTACAAAAGGCTTGACCTGACCTGGCAGCTATTCCTAAGAAAAAGGGCCTGCGATTGGTTGGATCACAAGCTCAGAATCCAGTGCGCCATGACACAGTATCAGAAGAAACGGGCCATGAGATCTTAAACCGTGTTAGCAAAGCATGGTGCCCAGATAAGCCTAGCCAGTCTCCCGCAAGAACTCAGCAGTGCGCAGGCTTTTATTTAAACAGATTTTAAAGACAGACGCAAACTGGGCACAGGCACAGGCCAGTGATCTTAGTACTCCCAGCTCAGCTGGGAGGATTGTGACCATAAGGCCATCCTCTGCTATACAGTGAGCCCCAGGCTAGCCTTGGCTAGAGAGTGAGACGCTGTCCCCCCAAAACAAGACGTTGGTGGCGCACGCCTTTAATCCCAGCACTGGGAGGCAGAGGCAGGCGGATCTCTATGAGTTCGAGGCCAGCCTGGTCTACAGAGCGAGTTCCAGGACAGCGTCCAAAACAATACAGAGAAACCTTGTCTCGAAAAATCAAGAAAAAAAAAAAGAAACAAAACAAAACAAAAAAACAAGAGAGGGACCGGATAGATGGTCCAGTGGGTGAAAGCCCTTGCTTTCCAAGCTTGAGAACATGCCTGAGTTTGGATCCCCAGGACACACACATGACTGTAACTGGGGGGGGGGGGGCAGAGAGAGGATGGTCACTGCGGCCTAGGTGCAGGCTCAGTAAGATACCCTGTCTCGAAGGAGGAAGACCTACAGTGAAACACCAGGACACCGGATGTCCTTCTCTGGCCTCCGTGTGAGTACGCGCAGACACAGACATCATAGTCGCCACCCCCACCCACCCACGGGGGGCAGGGGGCTGTGAATCTTGAGAAAGAGAAATGGGTCATAGAAAAACCTGGACCCAGATAATGTGGTCAAAGAGCTGGTTGGCTCAGAAAAGAGCGGGGGCAGAAACGAACGATCTTGCTTCACAAAGGGACCTGTGATGAAAGCGGCTGATTTATAGTTACCCCGAGGGCAAAACTGAGAGCCGGACTTGAGCTCAACGGAGAGCTGGCGTTTCCAAGACTGAGACCTGTGTGACAACACGGTATCCCCCCACACCCACGAGCCAGTCGCTGCGGAATACATCCCGGCAGAGTTCAGAGAGGCTTTGTGAGGGACCGTGATGTGTGTGGGACTCGTGGGGGAGGGCTGGGGGGAAGAACAGGAGAGGCGGGGACCTGGATCCGATGGCGGTTTCTGTCTAAACAGCATCGGTTTCTACTCCTTCCACTGCTTGCCCTCAGTCTCTCCAACTTCTCTGCCATTTGAGCCTTTCTCCCTCCAAAGATTTGTTTGCTTGCTTGTTTGAGATGGGATCTTTGAGTCTGGAACTCTCGATGGAGACCAGGCTGACCTCAAAAATCATAGAAACCTGCCCCTCCCTGACCATGTGCCACGGTGTACACACACACACACACACACACACACACACACACACACACACACACACACACACACATTCAATAAACAAACGTAAAATAATAAAAAAAATAACGATAACAAACAGGACCTCGATTCCTTTGGAGAAATCACCGTCACCCTTTCTGTCTTTTGGTCCTTAGACTAAACTTAACGAACGGAGCAACGATCAAGTATCACCTGCCTCGCTCGCAAATCCTTCATAGGTTGATCGTCCCAGAGGCAGTCCAGTAACCCAAACTGACCGGTAGGAATTAGATCTGCAACTATCAGAAAACGTGGGGACCGTGTGTTTGTAAGTCGTCTCAGCTGGAAGCCACTGTGTCGAAAGAATCTGAAAGAGAATGAGTCAACCCAAGGCAGTGAAGGTGGGGAATAAACCTCCCCCTCTGATTTAGGTCTCTGTCTCTTGAAGTCAGCTTGCTCTTTTGGTTTCAATATCTCTCAGCTCCCGGCTTCTCAGCCTATTGGAATTTGACCCTACACACCCCTCTCCAGCATATTCTCTTTCCACAACCCTGTCACTTGCTGTAGAGCTAGCGCACAGGGAGCCGGGTGGCGGCGGCAAGGCCCCAAGTCTGGCACGCCTTCCAACATGTCCTCAGGAAGTGTTGCACTCCTAAATGCTTTCGTCCCTGAGACTTCCTTTCACGATGCCCCATCGACAGTGTGTCCATGTTTCTGCTCTCAGGATTTGGACCCTGGTAGTAAGCTACACTTACTCGCAAAGGATGGGGCCTTCCTCGGTGTCCCCTTTATTCTGGGACACATGGGACAGTGGATGTTGAGAAGGTGACTCTGGCCCGCTTGAAGGAGAGAGCTACAGTTCTAAACTGAACTCATTACGTAGCCCAGGCTAGTCCTTAAACTTGCTGGTCTCAAAGTTGCAGCAATCCTCCTGCCTCAGCCTCCTGAGTATTGGGATTGCAAGCATTGCTGCCAAGCCTGACTTTTGTCTTATGATTTCTACGAACAGGGAAGGAAAACTGAATACTAGATGGGAAATAGACATGTCTAATAAACATATTAAAAGTTCAACCTTGGCCATGTGTAGTTGTGTACACCTATCATCCCAGAACTCTGGAGACTAAGACAAACAAACACACAAACAACAGAACAGCTCAAGGCAATTGCTTACCCAGCGGCAGCTGTCTAACTAGGTTAAGCCTGCCTGATTTTCTGAGGCGGCTATAAAAAAACATAGTTCTTCTTTTGCTCTTCCTTTTTTAGATGCTCACCAACGCCTGGGCCTGCTTTCCGGGAACCCTGGACATCTGTACTCTTATCTCCGAAGCTACTTCCTTGTTTGTTTGTTTTGAGACAAGTTCTCGTTATGTAGTCCTACATCGACTAACCTGCTGCGTAGATCGGGCTAGTACAGAACACACGGATCCGCCTGCCTCTGCCTCCCAAGCGCCGGGATTAAAAGTGAACAGTCCCACGCTACCTGGCCCAGCTACCTGCCTTCGATTGTGCAAGCAGAATTCCCACACCTAACTCAAAAAGGCAAGGATTTCTCTCTCTGTCTCTGTTTCTGTTTCTGTCTGTCTGTCTCTCTGTCTCTGTCTCTGTCTCTCTCTCTCTCTCTCCTCCCCTCACTCTTCTTCCTCCAGGTAACTGCCTAGATTAACAGTTTGCCTGCCCTGCAGTTTCCCTTTTTTAATTTATAATAAATTTTTCCTTGAGTTTATTTGCTTGTTTAGATTCCATCCCTGATTCCAGAAAATTAGGCTGTGTTGGAAACAGGCGCATACTAATGGATGCTTCCAGAAGGGAGTTCTCAGCAGCAGGAGCCTTAAGGATCTTAAACCTTGATCCAGTAATGGCACTCCTTGGAGCCCATCATGGGAGCCCAACCATCAAAACAGACGATTAATGAACACAGATGAGTACTGCTTTAGCTGGGGAACTTGAAAGCCTGCCTGTTGGAAAAGCTATTTGAAAGCTGTTGTCCTCTAAGTAAGGCGTGTGCGTTCCTACCAGGAAGGCCACCGGAAAACATCACGACATGGAGAAAAGTGTACATTATGTTAAAAGCAGGATGCAAAACTCCTTATGCAGTGAGATCACAGCTCCATAAACACACACACACACACACACACACACACACACACACACACACACAAAACAAACACAGAGATATGTTAAAGCAGTAGGTACTCTGTTTAAAGAGATTACACATGTTGTCTCCTACCTTTTCTTCTTCTGCTATTTCCCTAGTTTTTCTACTGTTCCTGTACTGTGTGGTCTAAGAAGACCCCTGCCCAAAACAACACACAGGCGGAATGTCACCTCCTGGCTGTGGGGCCTGGCTTGGTGGTAAAGGGAGCAAGCGTGAGATTCTAGGTTTGGTCTCTGGTACCCTGTTTACAAGCTGGGGATGGTCTTCTGTGCTACCTATCCCAGCACTGAGGGGTCAGAGACAGGGGCCCGAGGACTGCCATATTGGTGAGGTTTAGTGAGAGACTTTACTTGTCTCCGTAACAAACAAACAAACTGAGATGTGGGGCTAGAAAGATGACTCAGTGGTTAGGATAGGAGTTTGGTTCCCAGGAGCCACACTGAGCCACTCACAGCCATTTGTAATTCTGGATCCGGGGTCCCCTAGCCTTTGGGGATACCTTCCTAACGTGTTTTTGTGCACGTACGCGCATGCGCGCGCGAGCACACACACACACACACACACACACACACACACACCCCTTGGGGTGGGACCAGGGTCTTATCTTCTCCCTCTCCTAGCCTCACCTGCGGAAGCAAATTACGGGGAACCCTAGAAGAGTGGGGGTTCTCTATCTAGGCTGGCCGCTGTAAGATCTGGGAAGCTTTTTTTTTGTTTGTTTTTTTGAGACAGGGTTTCTCTGTGGCTTTGGAGGCTGTCCTGGAACTCGCTCTGTAGACCAGGCTGACCTGGAACTCACAGAGATCTGCCTGCCTCTGCCTCCTGAGTGCTGGGATTAAAGGTGTGCGCCACCAACACCCAGCTAAGATCTGGGAAGCTTTTAAACACCCCAGCTCACCCTCTCCCTTCCCTGGCACCGCCTCTGAGCCTCCGTGTTTGCTCGGTCTGAGGTGAGGCTGGCCTTCAACCCGTTTTGAAACTCCCTCTGTGGTCTTGATGGCTTTCCCACCCCAGACTTGCTGGCCTGCATCGACCCGGCATTTTCCTGTCTTACTTCCAAAGCAGGAAGTCATCCCAGAGCTGGCCAGAGGCTCCAGGGACTGTCTCCGATCAGCCCTTTGGAATCCGCTAGAGCCTTGGTTGCTTTTCAGAGGTGCTTACTTTCTTTTCTTTTCTTTTTTTCTTTTTTCTTTTTACGAGACAGGGTTTCTCTGTATTGTTTTGGAGGCTGTCGGTCCAGCCCAGCCTCGAACTCACAGAGATCCGCCTGCCTCTGCCTCCCGAGTGCTGGGATTAAAGGCGAGTGCCACCAACGCCCGGCTTGAGGTGCTTACTTTCCAAATGACAGTTGTCTGCACTGGGGCTTGCCTTTCTGAATAGGCACCAAGATAAGTGAATCCTCGGAGGAAAGTCAACACAGTTCAACAAACTGGGGCGACCCCACACACCCCCAGCATGACAACGTGACCCTAGAGTAGACTAGCCCGACTGCAGCAATTTTCTTGGTTTGGAGACGGAATACTCAACTGGTGTTCCGTGTAAGAACACATAGGGACACACGTAGACAATGCTGCTAATATGTTATCACATAGCTCCGTTTTTATATGATAACAATAAAAGTTACCGAATTTTCCTTCACTAAGAACCAGGTACCTATTCTTGATGTTTCATTTGTATTTTTTTTTATTAAGTTGCGCGCGCAGGCGTGTGTGTGTGTGTGTGTGTGTGTGTGTGTGTGTGTGTGTGTGTGTGTAGAGGTCAAAGGACAACCTTTGGGAGTTAGCCCTCTCCTTCCACCATGTGGGTTCGGGAGACTGAACAAAGGCCATCAGACTTGGAAGCGATCTCCCTTGAGCCATCTTGACTGCCCTCATGTGTTTTCTTTTTTTTTTTGGTTTTTCGAGACAGGGTTTCTCTGTATTGTTTTGGAGACTGTCCTGGAACTCGCTCGGTAGACCAGGCTGGCCTCGAACTCACAGAGATCCTCCTGCCTCTGCCTCCCAAGTGCTGGGATTAAAGGCGTGCGCCACCAACGCCCGGCCCTCATGTGTTTTCTTATCTAATCTGACAACCCGGTCAGGTAGATGAATAAGGGAATCAGGAAATCGAGGCATCAAGTCTCCAAAAAATTTGCTAGCTGAGCCGGGCGTTGGTGGCACACGCCTTTAATCCCAGCACTTGGGAGGCAGAGGCAGGCGGATCTCTGTGAGTTCGAGGCCAGCCTGGTCTACAGATCGAGTTCCAGGACAGCCTCCAAAGCCACAGAGAAACCCTGTCTCGAAAAACAAAAAGAAAAATTGCTAGCTGATCCATGATAGAAGACATTATGTTCCCTTTAGTTATTTAAAAAAATATTTTTATTGTTTTCAGTTACATGTATGTGTCTGTATATAGGTACATCCATGTGACTGCAGGTGCCCCAAGAGACCATAGGAGCTAGAATTACAGGAGTGGAGTTACAGGTGGTTGTGAGCTGCGCAACGTGGTTTCTGGGAATTGAACCCTGGTCTTCTGGAAGAGCAGTGCATGCTCTTAACCACTGAGCCATCTCTCCAGCCTCCAATTTTATACTTGTTGTTGTTTGAGATAGGGTCTTAATACATAGCCTGGACTAGCCTTGAACCCTCAGTGTAGCCCAGGCTGGCCTCTAACTCATGATTCTCCTACCCTGGCCTCTTGAATGCTTGGATTACAGGCATGTCCCACAACCTGGCTAGGCAGAAGTTATGTCATTAACACGTTTCAAGACCATTCCTGTCTCAAAGAAAAATAATTTTCCTTTTTTAAATTATTTTTTAAAAATTCATTTTATGTGTGGATGTTTTATCTGTTTGGTGCCATTAGGAGTCAGAGGAGAACATCAGATCTTCTGGAACTAGAGTTACAGATGATTGTGAACCACCATGTGGGTGCTGGGAATCGAACCCAAGTCCTCTGGAGGAGCACCCATGACCCTGCTTCTCCATATCTCCAACCCCGAAAAATTAACTTGCAAATTAGTCTACCTGAGCCCCCTTCAGTATTTCCGTCATTTTCTACTTTTATTTTGTTCTTTTCAGTTACATTTAGAGTGTGTGTCTGTGTATGTATTTGTATCTGTGTGTGTCTCTGTGTGTATTTGTATCTGTGTATGTCTGTATGTGTGTCTGTGTATATCTGTGTGTGACTTTGTGTGTTTGTGTGTGTCTGTGTGTCTCTCTGTGTGTCTGTGTGTCTCTCTGTGTGTATCTGTGTCTCTCTGTGTGTATCTGTGTGTGTTTGCGTGTATGCCCGCATGTACATGTGCATGTGAGCTGGCTCCACAGAGCTCTTGTGGAGGTCTAAGGACACTTGCGGAAGTTAGTTCTCTCCTACTATGTGGGTCTGCGGAGATGGAACCCAGGTCATTGGCCTTGGCTGCCGGAGCCTTTATCTGCTGAGCCATCACTAGTCTGCCATAGTGGAAATTATTTCAAAACCTGTTCTGCGGCCAGGCATAGGTGGCGCACGCCTTTAATCCCAGCACTTGGGAGGCAGAGGCAGGCGGATCTCTGTGAGTTCGAGGCCAGCCTGGTCTACAGAGCTAGTTCCAGGACAGCCTCCAAAACAATACAGAGAAACCCTGTCTTGAAAAACCAAAAAAAAAAAAAAAAAAAAAAACAACAACAACAACAACAACAACAAAAAACCTGTTACGTGCATTACAACAGCCTTTAAAAAGACAAGCTGGCCGGGCATAGGTGGCTCATGCCTTTAATCCCAGCACTCGGGAGGCAGAGGCAGTCGGATCTCTGTGAGTTCGAGGCCAGCCTGGTCTACAAAGTGAGTTCCAGGACAGCCTCCAAAGCTACAGAGAAACCCTGTCTTGAAAATCCAAAAAAAAAAAAAAAAAAAAAAAAAAAAAAGCTGAACACAACTTGACCCCTTTAAAAAGGCTCAAGGTTAGCATCATCTGCGTTCATGGGGAGGCCGGATGGAGCGTGAGGGAGTGTGATCCTCGGGAGTCCTCAAGTCTATAGAGTTGAGTCTTTCTCACTGCACGGACGGCGGTGGGCTGCCTTTCCCTGGGCCCCTTCTGCAGGTGACACACTGTCCAGCTCGCCACTTGAGCTGCTGAGTGGCGCTACACTGCTGTGTTGTTCCAGGTGGCCCTTGCTGCCCCTCAGCCTCGGCAGACTGGGCAGAGTGAACGAACACAGGACCAAAAGCAGCCACAGCCATAGGCTGGGTCAGCTCCATACAAGAACAGGTGAGAACAGTTCAGCCCACTCTGGGATGTGGCCCACACTCTCCACGCGGGGCTTTTGGATGAAGAATTAGAGGTTTGCAATGATGGTGGGTGTTTTGCTTGTTTTTTTGTTTGTTTTGATATGCAGAGAGTGCTAATGCGGTAGAACGATCGAATATTATGGGAAAGCAGATAATTCTGATGAATAAAGACGAGAGGTCAGAGAGACAGACAGCAGGGTCACACACTCAGACTCCTTTGGCAGTCAGGGGACAGGCAATGCAAATGAGACGAGGAGGGTGTCGGGAAGGCTATGCCCCCGCCCCCTGCAGTCAGGGGGCGGGCAATGCAAATAAGACGG